AGCTCATAGAGCATTTGAATTCCATCTGTTCCACACCTCTCAAGGATCTCATTGCTTCTTGTCAATTTTCTTAAAGGACAAAAACCCAAGCTAAAACCACACTCCCCTCACTGCCTATTACACTCATTACATTCCTTTATTTAAAAATATCTAAACCATAGCTTCAGCTCTGACAGGAACAAAGCGTACTGTTCCTTCAGAAAATAACTTACATCTCTGTGATACCCAACTCAAAATGTTAAACTGAGGCTGTTTTTGGAGACCGATGCACTTTGAAACCTGCTGCTGGTCACAGCTTTTACACTTCAGAGACAAAAACAGAAATTGCTGGAAAAGCTCAGCAGGTCTGGCAACATGTGTGGACAGAAATCAGGGTTAACGTTTCACCAGACCTAAAATGTTAACTTTGATTTATCTCCACAGATGCTGCCTGACCTGGTGAGCTTATCCAGCAATTTCTGCTTTTGTTTCTGACTTACAGCATCCAGTGTCCTTTTGGTTTTACACTTCAGTAAGTTAATGCCTTGCTCACCAGCAGAATCAAAAGTCTCTCCTTTCGCTGCATCTATAAATCTTCTACCCTCTGATTTTGATAAACCCAAGTGGATCACTCATGGCTGCTAGGGAAGGAAACTGCCGTCCTTACCTGGTCTGGCCTACATGTGACTCCAGACCCACAGCAATGTGGTTAACTCACAACTGCCCTCTGGGTAATTCGGGATGTGCAAATAAATACCGGATGCCAACATCCTGTGAACCAACATATTAAAAAAAATTCTGCCGATTGCCTTACATCTGTCACCTTTGTTTACGGAGTCTGCCGCTATGATAAAGCTCTTTCACCTTAATAACTTGATCAATACCTCTTCATTTGTGGGGTGGGTCTGGGTGGGATGCTTTTGGAGGGTTGGTGTGGACTCAATGGGCTGAATGGCCTGATTACATACTTTAGGGATTCTATCATTCTCTTTTCTCTCCCACTTGACTGAAGCGCTACATTGTTGGTGCCATTATAAATGTGATGACAGGAATTTATCATTCACATAAATCGATTATAGATTCTAGTGGGCAAAGGCATGTGTGGCCTATTACCTGAAGGTCACAGGTTCAAATCCCAGGTTGCTAGCACCTATTGCACCAGGGGTTGGCACAGTGGCTCACTCGGCACTGCTACCTCACAGCACCAGGGACCTGGGTTCAATTCCAGCCTCGGGCAACTGTCTGTGTGGAGTTTGCACATTCTCCCCAACTCTGCGTGGGTTTACTCTGGGTGCTCCAGTTTCCTTCCACAGTCCAAAGATGTGCAGGCTAGGTGGATTGGCCATGCTAAATTGCTCATAGTGTTCAGGGATGTGTAGATTTAGGGGATGGGTCTGGTGGGGGGATGTTCTGAGGGTCAGTATGGACTTGTTGGGTCAAAGGGCCTGTTTCCACACTGCAGGGATTCTATGATCTATGACCTCAGGCCTCGCCGACAGTGAAAGAGTGAGGAAAAAAATGGGCCAAAAATATTTCTTAACAGTTAGACTTGACTTCTCAGAGTGTGAAATATGATATTTTGAAATTACAGTGTATATATTTGCAGAATCAAAAAAGTGCAGTAAACTGATAAGTAATCTTGAAGGAAGGGTTACCATGTATTGTTTTCACTGCTGTTGCAAGGTGGCTACAGTCCCCTAAGGAAATACCCTTTCTCTCCCACTGATGGTTAGCCAATACCAACTAACCATTGGCCTTGAATTACTTCCTGTGAAGATCTCTGGGATTTGCATTTTCCTCCTTCAGGTTTCAACCGGGAATCGATTGTCCAGTACTAACACCAGTGAGGAACATAACAAAAAGAATTATCATTGCTCTAAAGCGTGTGTCAGGGACATGAAATCGGTTCATCGAATTTTCCACCTCCCAAAATCTGGGAGCCTGAGGAAACTTATCTAGAGGTCTGCTGTTAACATCTTGTCTGAAATACGTATCTCTAACTGCACTTTTTTTGTGCACGTTGCATGTGTTCAGATGCTCATTAGGCCGAGAGATTTCAGTGTTGCAAAATTAATTGATCAATTCTCATTATCCAAGCTCAGTGAGCATACCCAGCGTTAGCAGCTCAGTGTAGCCATCTACCAACAACCCAACATTCAGAGCACTCTCTGACAGAACATGTGACCTTTCCATCTCCCACACCATCTGGATTCTTGTGCTCAGCGAGAGTGAATCACTGTCAACCCTGCTGGGCTTCTGCAGGAAGAAAGCACTGAATTCTAAAAGGAACGGTACCACATTCCATAGCACGTCGCAGTTGCAATTTGTCGGGAAAAATCCACTGAAAACAGTGATTCATTTAACAGTTTACGCTGCCACTGTTGGAAGTCCAAGGCATACCCTCTACTTCTGTGGAACTTTCTCTCAAATCCCTCCAAATTTCTGCCTAGTTGACGGTGAACCCAAAGATGTGCAGGCTTGGTGGATTAGCCATGGGAAATGCAGAGTTATACAGGGATAGGTCTGGGTAGGATACTCTTTGGAGAGTCAGTGGTACTCTAGGGGCCAAATAGCACACAGTAGGGATTCTAGGATTCTAACCCACAGAAAACAATTGGCCTGGATGGAGTCCCCAGCCGTGCACACAGATCCTGTGCAGTCCAGCTGGTGGAAGTATTTGCAGATATCTTTAACTTCTCCTTACTACGAGCTGAAGTCCTCACCTGCTTCAAGAAGACTGCTATCATCTTGGTGTCAAAGAAAAATCATGTAGCGTGCCTCAATTCAACTGCCTGCTTGGTGTGACCTCTATAATTATGAAGCGCTTTAAGAGGTTAGTCATGGCTCACATCAACTCCAGCCAACCAAATTGCCTTGATCCTTGGCAATTCACTTACCAGTGCAACAGGTCCACAGCACACTCATAGATCATAGAATCCCTACAGTGTGGAAACAGGCCAACAAGTCCACACTGCCCTTCCGAAGAACATCCCACCCAGGCCCATCCCCCTACCCCTGATTTCCTTATGTCTAACCCACCTAACCTAAACATCCCTGGGCACTATAAGCAATTTATTATGGCCAATCCACCTACTCTGCACATCTGCTTTCAGACCAATCGTGATTATGTTTCACTAAAACAGGACAAACCTGAAAAGGAAGCACCAGGGAGTTACTGAAAACTTACTCTGAACCCACGCGAACTCCACACAGACAGTCGCCTGAGGGTGGAATTGAACCCAGGTACCTGGCACTGTGAGGCAGCAGTGCTAACCACTGAGTCACTGTGCCGCCCCTGGAACATCTAGATAACAAGGTGACCTACGTCAGGTTCCTAATATTGACTACAGCTCCAAGATGGTCCAGAGCATCAAGTACTTGGGAGTGATGATCACCAACAATCTGTCCTGGTCCACCCACATTGACACGATGGTCGAGATAGCACAACAACATCTCTACTTCCGCAGGAAGCTAAGGAAATTCAGCAGGTCCACAAGGACTCTTACCAATTTCTATGGATGCACCATAGAAAGCATCCTATCTGGATACATCACAGCTTGGTATGGCAACTGCTCTTCCCAAGACTGCAAGAAACTACAGAGAGTCATGAACACAGCACAGTCCATCATGCAAACCAGCCTTCCATTCATTGACTCCATCCACACTTCCCACTGCCTCGGGAAAGCACCAACATAATCAAAGACTCCCTCCCACCCCCGGTGCACTGTCTTCCCCCCACCCCGCACCCCCACAACTTCCTTTAGGCAGAAGATATAAAAGTTTGAATACATGTACAAATAGATTCAAGAACTGTTATCAGACTTTTGAATGGACCTCTCAAATGTTAATTCTGATCTCTCTCTCTCTCTCTCTCTCTCTGCATCTTCTTTGCGGCTGTAACTGTATTCTGCACTGTGTTCTGCTACCTTGATATACGTTATATGGTACAATCTGCCTCTATAGCATGCAAAACAACACTTCTCATTGTATTTTGGCACAGGTGACAACAATAGTTCAAACTCAAACTCAAACCAGCTGACTACAATGAATTGAATGTGAACAGCAACGTAAGAAATCACACAATAGGAACACCTCTCCTTTGTTCGCAATTGGCTTCTTTTATAATTCTGCTGGTGAACTTGTGGGTCCAAAGTGAAGGACATGTTCCCAAATCTTACACCCTTACAGCAATATCAAGTCATTTCAGTCAGCAAGAGAAGGCAGAGAAAATTTCAGCAGAAAAATGCCTGTTTTGCATTTCTCATTGCTCATACTACTTTGACTTTCCAAGCTTTCTCACAGGTATTTAGCAATGTGTCCAGTTTCTCTGTGAAACCTCGAGTCCATCCTGGCTTTGAGTGAAGGAAGGAAGCTGCCAGGCAAATGCTGCTTCCTAACATCACAGCACTGCTTTCAGACCAATCGTGATTATGTTTCACTAAAACAGGACAAAACTGAAAAGGAAGCACGGGGGAGTTACTGAAAACTTACTCTGCATCTGAATACTAGCTTTATGGCTGCTTTCTTTCAATGTAAATAGCTCCAGATCATTCAAATCTGAAAAAAACTCATGTGGAGTTGATGGCCTAGTGGTATTACCACCAGACTGTTCATCCACAGTCCAGATAATGTTCTGGGGTCCCAGGTTCAATTCCTGCTATGGCAGATGGTGGAATTTGAATTCAATAAAACAAAATCTCAATTTAAGAACTTAATGATGACCATAAGCCAATTGTCAGGGCAAAACCCATCTGGAAGGAAATTTGCCACCCTTACCTGATCTGTCCTACATGTGACTCTAGACCCACAGCAATGTGGTTGACTCTTAATTACTCTATGGAAAGATTAGGGATGGGCAATAAATGCTGGCCTAGCTAATATTGCCCTCATCCTGTGAATGAATAAAAAATAGGTACACAGCCCAAAAAAACTGAATATTTCAAAGGACCTCCCTTGACAGCACTCAATACAACAACTTCATCATCTGTTAATATCATTTTTGAGGAATAAGAGTTACTCACTGATTCTTTCAAAGAGCTCTCCAACATTAATGGCATTCTTTGCACTTGTTTCAACAAAGATCGCATTGATGAACTTAACATATTCCTGGGCATCCTTGACTGTAACCTCCCTAGAACAGTAATCAACAATTGATTAGTCAAATTTGTAATAATCAGGTTGAGATTGTAAAAATCTTCAGTTGTTTGTGTACCTACAAGCAGTTTGTCCAACTACTGGAATTCATAATGAAATTAGAATAGTTTCTAATCAGTTATTATTGATTCATATACATTCTCATTATGTTAAACTTGTAAACAATTAATGATACTTTTCAGGGAATATTTCAGAATACACAGAATTGTTACATTTCAAAGAGTAAGAATCACTCCAAGGGATGGATTGTGGCTAATTACAAAGGTTAAAGATTGCAAGAAAGTTAAAGTAAAACTTATAACTGTGCAAAGACAGATGTCAGGTCTGAAGACTGGACAGAATATAAAAACAGCAAAGAATGACTAGAAAATAAATTAGGAGAAAGTTAGTGTGAGAGAAAGCTAGCTACAAATATAAAAACAGGTAGGACTCCCTTGTCCGCTCCACACCCACCTCCAGCCCCACCACATCCAGCACTTTTCCCTGCAACCGCAGGAAGTGCTACACCTGCCCCCACCCCTCCACCATCACCCCCATCCCAGGCCCCAAGAAGACTTTCCACATCAAGCAGATGTTCACCTGCACATCTGCTAATGTGGTATACTGTATCCGCTGTTCCCGTTGTGGCCTCCTCCACACGGGGAAACCAAGCGGAGACTTGGGGGCCGCTTTGCGGAACACCTACGTTCGGTTCGCACTAAACAACTGCAACTCCCAGTCGCGAACCATTTCAACTCCCCCTCCCATTCCTCAGACGACATGTCCATCCTGGGCCTCCTGCAGTGCCACAACGATGCCACCTGAAGGTTGCAGGAACAGCACCTCATATTCCGCTTAGGAACGCTGCAGCCTAATGGTATCAATGTGGACTTCACAAGCTTCAAAATCTCCCCTCCCCCTACCACATCCCAAAACCAGCCCAGCTTGTCCCCGCCTCCCTAACCTGTCCTTCCTCCCATCTATCCCCTCCTCCCACCTCAAACACCACCCCCATCTCCTACCTACTAACCATCCCGCCCCCTTGACATGTCCGTCCTCCCTGGACTGACCTATCTCCTCCCTACCTCCTCACCTACACTCACCTTTACTGGCTCCATCCCCGCCTCTTTGACCTGTCTGTCTCCTCTCCACCTATCTTCTCCTCTATCAATCTTCTATCCGCCTCCCCCTCTCTCCCTGTTTATTTCAGAACCCCCTTCCCCTCCCCCATTTCTGAAGAAGGGTCTAGGCCCAAAATGTCAGCCTTCTTGCTCCTCTGATGCTGCTTGGCCTGCTGTGTTCATTCAACTCTACACCTTGTTATCTTAGTTAGAATTCCTGTTTTTTTCAGAAAAGTTAACGGAATATTGCTTCTATAGAAAATGTGTCTGAAGGATTGCTAATAGAATCCAAAAAAAATGGCAGATAAAGTGAATAGGTATTTCGTATCAGTCTTCACTACAGAGTATAGTTGTAACATTCAGGATCAGCAATAAATGAAGGAGGGAGAAACTCAGAAAAATTACAATTACTAGAGAATGGTACTAAATAAACTGTTAGAGCTACAGGCCAACTGGTACTTGGGTCCTCATGCACTTCATCTTAGGTTCTAGCAGCTAATGAAATAGTTATTGTATTGGTAATAATTTTCAAAACTCCCTCTATTCAGGGGACGTCTCATTAAATTGAAATATAACTAAGGTTGAAAAAGGGAAAGTCAGAAAGCAGGAAACTAAAGGCTATTTGCTTAATATTTGTTTGAAGGAAAATGTTACAAGCTATTATGAAAGAGGTTATAGCAGGTTATTGAGATAATTTTGATATGATAAGGCAGAGTCAACATGGTTTTGTGAAAGGAAAACCTTGTTTAACCAGTCAGCGTGCTTTGAGGAAGTAACATGTGCTATGGATAAAGGGGAGCCAGTAAATGTACTACACTTCAATTTCCAGAAGACACTTGATCAGGTGCTACTTCAGAGCTTATTGAGGAAAATAAAAGCTGATGGTGTAAAGGGTAACATATTGGCATGATTAGAAGTTTGGCTAGCTAACAGGAAGAGTAAGAATATGTGAGTTTTTCTCAGAAAGATATCACGAGTAGTGTGCCACAGGGAACAGTGTTAGGATCTCAATTGTTTATACTTTATAGAAATAACTCAGGAGAAAGGGCTGAAGGTATGGTATCCAAATTTCCTGAAGACAGAAAGATCGGTAGGAAAGTAAGTTATGAAGAGGACACAAGGAGGTTACAAACAGATGCATAGGTTAACCAAGTGAGCAAAGATCTAGCAAGTAGAGTATACTGTGAGAAAATGTGGAATTGTCCATTTTGACAGGGAGAATAAAAAGAAGTATATTATTTAAATGGTGAGAGATAGCATCAGAGATGTAGAGGATATATCCTTCTGCATGAATCACAAAAGGTCAGTGTGCAGATATAGCAGGTAATTAGGAAAGCTAATAGAATGTTATCATGAGAGAAATTAAATAAAAAGGTATAGAGGTTATGTTTCAGTCACAAGAGGGCACTGGCGAGACCACATCTGAAATACTGTGCATAGTATTGGTCTTCTTGTTTCAGCAGGGATGTGATGTAAATTTGGTGGAATCAGTTCAGAGTAGGTTTACCAGAGTAATACCTTATGATGCAAGGTTGGACAGTCTAGGCCTATATGTGGTGGAAGAGTAACAGGCACCTCAACTGAAAAGTACAGATCCTGAGTATAATAGCTTGGCTTCTCATAAAGGAAGATCAAGAACTAGGCATCACCTACTGAAATCAGAGATGAGGGAAATTTTTTTTCTCCAAGGTGGTGAGTCTTTGGAACTGTCTTCCTGAAAGGCAGTGGAAGCAGAGTCTTTGAATGTTTTTAAGACAATGCAAGATAGATACTTGTTAAGCAAGGAGCTGAAACGTTGTCAGGGGTGGAGCAGGAGGTGGAGTTAAGATTACAATAAGATCAGTCATGACTTATTAAATGGTGGACCATGTTCAAGGGGTTGAATGGTCTACATCTTGTTTTTATGTTCATTATTTGTGTTGACATCATATTAAACTGGTCCAGTGAACAATGTTTCAGAAATAACTCCACAGAGGCCAGAATCCCATCTCCCTTTATTTCCACGTGAAGAGTCCTTGACACTGATCCAGCTCCCTAAGAGCCAGCTATCAGAGTGAACAGGATGTCTGACACTTCTGTCAGCCAGGGCTCCCTGACTGGACCAATTAACAGCCCCAATCAGGGAACTCCTATTCTATGAGGTCCACCTTTCCGATCTTGTTACAATCATGACAGCTTCCATGAGTCAAACTCAGTCCTTCATGTCTTTAATCACATCAATAACCTGACATTAATTTGTAAACAAGAGGATGACACTTTACAGTGTAACAAAAACAGACTCGGCAGGTCTGGCAACATTTGTGGAGAGAAAGCAGAGTTAATGTTTCAATTCCAGTGGCTTTTCTTCAGAACTTTGCAGTGTCACATTGTTTTTGTGTGGCACATCCCTTTAATACAGATAAAAGACATAATTTTATACAAATACCAACCTCATATCAGAAAGGTCACATTTGTTTCCAGCAATTGCCACCACAATGTTTTCAGGCCCATGCTCCTTCAATTCCTTTACCCACTTCTTCAAAGTGTAGAAGGATTCCTGAGGGAAAACACACAGTGAACATGGTCAGAGCCTCCAAATAAAACAGGCATCATTTTCTCACAGCCCGGAAATTTGGCTTCACTCATGAATGTTGTTTCCTCTCTATCACCATGTACTGTTTCCCAGTGAGGCACTGCTACTTGTACTCCCAGCAATGAATACCCAATCTGCAACCTTTCATCCTTCAGATTCATGTAAATAACAAGACCTGCTGTAAAAGTGATGCTTGTATCTCTCTCTCTCCCCCTTCCCCCTCCCAGTCCCAGATCCCACACTCAGACTTCCCTCGACATCTGCATTGGTTCCTTCAGTCAGGAAGTCTCTGTCCCCGGTGGTCATTTACAGTTAGCGAACAAAAGGTTTCCATGCATCAGAGTGAATCAGCTTCTACTGGCTTTTACTTTGAGCCAGAGCGAGCTTCTGATCTGGAGTGAACACATTCCAAGACAGAGACAGACAGACAGATGGCTTCACGGAGGCCCAGGCACTGCATGACATCTGATGATATGTTTGGGTGCCTGGAACTGTGTTTCACGATCATCGCAACCTCAGGAATGTCGCATGTGAACATTTAAACAAAAAATATTTTCTCTGACCCATGGGGAGTGCAGCAAGAAATGGAAACTGAAAAGACTACTGTTATACATTTTTCATTCAGCTTGTTCCTGTAAAGGCTGTCACGGGATGCTGAGTAATAGATTGTCAACAAAATCGAGTTTTACTACCAATCTACTTTAACCAAACTCATACAACTTTTATTCTTTTATTTCTTCTTTGTTTTATTCTTTGTTCATGTGACGTGAGTGATGCTGGCTTGACAAGTATTTATTGCCTATCCCTAATTGCAAGAAATACATAGAAATATAGAAAATAAGAGCAGGAGTAGGCCATTCAGCCCTTTAAGACTGCTCTGCTATTCAACATGATCGTGCCTGATCATTCAACTCAGTGCTCTGTTCCTGTCTTCTCCCCATACCTTTTTGATGCCTTTAGCCCTAAGAACTATATCTATCTCCAACTAACTCCTTCTTGAATGTTTCTTGAATATACATTTCAAAACACTTACGTAAAACACTCTTTCCAGCCCCAAACCCTCCACATTTTCCCTTTTCACCTCATGCTCAATGCTAACTGTTTCTCTTCTGTACTGGATGTGAGGACTGCTCACAGAAATGGAGTTTCCTACAACTCTGAAAACTGAGCAGCTCACTGCGTTTATCAGTGTTCTTCAGGAGATCCATAGCAATGGAAGATATTGTCGAGGTAATCAGATATGTTAACTGACCATCGTCTGCAAAGGGCCATAGGGCAATTCGAGACGGATAATTGGTCAGGTATAACTGAAGGAATACCACACTGAGTAGGCACGGGGCAAGGAGAAGGTATAGGCCACCAGAGACTAATACAGTCGGTCCAAGGGTTGAAACCACAATGGGGTTGTCATTTGCTCCACACTTGAGCCATTTCCTTTCAGTGTTACAACTACTTTTTTCCTGCTAATTCCACCCCTGTCAGGCCTATGTCATCCAATTCACCATGAGAAGTGCAACAAATGATTGACCAGTATAGAAAATATAATCAAACCAGCCTCAACAGCACCTTCCAAGTCCAGTGACATCTATCAGCGAAGGTACCAGATGTGTGCAAACAGCACCATAGAGTCATACAGCACAGAGACAGGTCCTTCTTGGCCATACAAACCAGGTTTCCCAAACTAAACTAGTCCCACTGCCTTGTGTTTGGCCCATATCCCTCTAAACCTTTCTTAGCCATCAAGCCATCCAGATGCTTTTTAAATGTTGTAACTGTACCCGCCTCCACCACTTCCTCGAGCAATTTATTTCATACACACACCACCCCCTGTGCAGGAAAGGTGCCCCTCAGGTCCCTTTTGAATTTTTCTCCTCTCACCTTAAAAATACACCTCCTAGCTTTAATCTCCCCCACCTTAGGAAAAAGGCCTTTGCTATTCACCTTATTTATGCCCCTCATAATTTTATAACCTCTAAAAGGTCACCCACCCCTTAACCTCCCACACTCCAATGAATAAAGTCCCAGCCAATCCAGCCTCTCTTTATAACTCAAACCCTCCCGTTCCATTAACACTCTGGTAAATCGATCCTGTATCCTCTCAATTAGCAGGGTGACCAGAACTGTACACAAATCCCCTCCAAGTCATTCACCATCCTGACTTAGAAACATCACCGTTCCTTTAGTGTCATTAGGTTAAAGCCTAGAACTCCCAGCTGAACACCACAGTGAATGCAGTCTAGCCCAGGAATTTCGGTGGTAGATGAAAGATCTCACTATCAGTGGCTGCTTCTGGCTCAGGACACCTGCCATAACATAAAAGACCCCTTAGAACCCAGGCCCTGTTCACTGGGCTCTGTTGTACACTACCACCCCACACTGGGCCCTTCTCATTACCACCTTCTGAGACTGTCTGGCAAACATCTGTGGAGAAAAACAGAGTTAGCTTTTCAGCTTCTGGATTCTGGATTGCTCTTGACCTGAAGTGTTTAATTTGTTCCTTTCTCCACAGATGCTGTTCGACCAGCTTAAAGTGTATGGCATTTTCTGTTTTTTTAATTTCTGATTTTCAAGCCATCACAAAATTTTGTTTTTGGTAAGGACATCTTAGAAGGGGATTTGAGAGCCAGATGGTTTTTTTTGATGAAAATCTGCTAATTTCACATTCAAATATAATAAACTTAGCATTTAATTTATTATTAATTAAATATAAACTCCCCAGCTGCTTTGGTAGGATTTGAACTAGTCTCTGGAAATTTGTTTTATATGCGGCACTATGGAACAGGGGTTTGCATTGCTGCCTCATAACGCAAGGGATCAGTGTTCGATTCCAGCCTTGAGTGACTGTCTGTGTGCAGTTTGCGCGTTCTCCCCGCATCTACGTGTGTTTCCACCGGGTGCTCCGGTTTCCTCCCACAGACAAGGTTCGGTGGATTGGCCAGGCTAAATGTGTGGTTGCGGGGATAGGGTGGGTGGGATGTTCTTCAGTTAGCTGGTGTGGACCCGACGGGCGGAATGGTCTTCGAATGACTCGTCATGCAACATTGCTTCGATACGACCAGATAATAGATTGATTCCCTAATGAGCTATTACATTCTTTGAGTCTGTCACCAGCACCTAGAGAATGTACACCTCTAACAACTCCACATGTTTCTTGGGCAGATTTCTCGTAACTCTTTTTATTTTACAGCATTCTGCAACAGAACCCCTAAAACATTAAAGGAACGAGCATGAAGCACAGTCCTCTTGCTCAGACCTTGCTCAGCTGTCAGATCCAATAGTCTGGGTGGTCATTTGGAAACAGTAATGACAGCCAAATCGTAGACAGTCTGCCGGCCTCTCTCACGGGACACCTGGCTGGAAGGTGCAGCACTGTGTGGTGACCTTTCCTTATGCAGTTAGCAGAAGTGCCCACTTGAGGGAGACACCTGAAGAGGAATCAGCGAGGAAATGCCAGAGAATGGAGAAGCACTACATTATTGAATGTCGCTCTCACTGTTGCAGACACAGTACAAAATAACACCGACTGACATCTCCTGTGAACTTGGGCAAGTACATCATGGGAAAACTAGATCCAAAGAAACCAAATCTCCTCAGGCTTTTCTGGTCTGACTAACTGGGCTGTATAGTCAGACCCCGATGCATAGTTGGCCGCACTACACACAGTTTCTACCATTCTCTTCACACTGAAGACCACCAACTCTTAAGAATTCAACTCATCCATGTCACCCAGTACAATGGGAATACCCAAGTTATTCTCCTACCAAGTCAAGTACTGGCCCAAACTTCACGCAAGAGTCTGATGAAAAAAATGCAGGCTACAGAAACCAATACCTGGATGTGTAAGATGTACAATGCAGCCTAACAGAGAAACACATTAACTAAAATGCACATTGGCAATTCCCAATCAATTCCTTCAATGTTACTGGGTTAAATTTCCACTCTAAACTTTGCAGTCAGGTTTGGCAGTAGGAGAAAAATCAGATGGGGAGCATTTCCAATGAAATACTCAGCCAAACAGTATTTGCTCCATTACATATGATCAGATACATCAAGTGTATTTCATTATTATTGATTCCACTTTATTATTTTAATTCAGCGGAAATGAGAGAATGCAAGTCATATTGCAAAGTATTAGGAACCAGGACAATTGCTGATATCCAGCATTATAATTGATTGCAACAGTGTACAGTTACACTTTAAAGAGATCAACATATAATTTCACAGAATGGCTTTCAGTTTCAAAATGTTTCAAGTTTTCCAAATAATACTTTTTAATTACTTTTTAAAATTATGCTCTTTTATATACCTATTTGCCTACTGTCAACGATGCACACCACAGTAAGATTTCACATTGTATCTGTTCATGAATCCTTTTAGAACAGTCCCTTTTATGTAAAGTTGCTTACTTCAAACATATTTCCAGCAACCAAAACTTTGGGATATTTTGAGGACTAGTTTTGTGAAGAACTTATCTCCTTCAACATTCACTCGATATTACGTTTATTACACTCTGTCCATTTTTAATACACCCACCACTGAAAAGATATGTTAATCATTCATGGTCAATGCTATTCCATCATTTACTTCAGCATCCTGGTGGTTTCCTGTTTATCTCAGAAAGACGTTTGTTCCCTGACCAGTTATAGTTATTCAGATTAGTTAAATTATTAACCCTTCCAACTTTCCAACATGTTAAACAGAAAGCAACACTGTTGGACAGAGGCTCACCCAGTAACAGTACATTTTCACTGGATTAAATAAAAACAATGTCAATAAGCTAATGGGGAACTTCACAGAGTCTGCCAGTGCACAATAGAATGCCCACAAATTAGATGTGCAAATGAGGAGTGAAGATTACACAAATAAGCCTCACAACCTCATAAACAGCAAAACAGTGTCTTCAAAGAAAACACTGCTTTTATTTCAAATCATCCAGTGTTTCTATTAGTTTGAAAGATGGCAAC